CCCCACTGTATGTCAAATTCGACCACTTCAACAGTACTCTTCTTACCTTTTCTCTGCCTTTGTGTCTGCCTGTCTCTTTTACATCTGTGAATCGCTCTTCTCTCCCTCTCGAATTTTCCCCACTTTGATGTTTCTCCCCTCTGTGAAGTCCGGAGTCAGCTAATGGGCTAATGACAAGTATCAAATCGTCTGCCTGTTGTCACCGCAAGTGGTACCTCCGTGACACTAATGCCACATTAAGGTGGGTACCTAAAATGCACCAAAGCATGGAAATTCAGTAAGCTATCTTGATTAGAGCTTTAAATCGTAACTTTGCATTTTTTCCCATTTTTGGTATTATCTATTTCCTCATGGCTGATTGACATAGAATGCAAATACAAGAAAATACATGGAAACAGATGAAATCTGCTTTCGGCAGGTTTGATTGCCTGAATTGTTCACTGCCAAAAGATGTTTTTTATTAAGTAAAACCTAGGCCATTAATTTGCTTCACACTCTAAGAAAACTTACATTTTGTTGAGGGACATTCATTCCGGTTTATTTCCAAATGTAAATATGTTTATGTGTAAGTTTTCATAATATTAATAAAGGTCAATGCTTCCAGAAAAAGAACAGAAGGTTGGATAAGTCAGCAACATCGCCATCCAATACGGAAGCAAGAATATGGGTTAATGCTAACCGAACTCCATGATGCTCTGTAAAAGGCAGCATCGATTAGGAGACTATATCAAAATTTCATGCAATAGCACTTGGTAAAAATCCGCCGTAACTTAAAATTCAACAAATATTTGTTTAATTTATTGAAAAAATTGTTGAATATTTGGTGTATATTCAACTGAAATTGGTCTTAATTAAGAGCCAATAATAGCAAAAAAAATAATTTTCGTTTCTCCACTTATATAAAAAATATCGGGTTTTTCAATGAAAGTTCCTCGTGCACCTATTTTTCACAAATTATGAGAATGTGGTCTTCTAAATTATAGAACAAGTACTTGCTCTCCTTGGCCCCTCAAAAACTTGTGGGACACTTCATCACGGGCGCGCACACTAGGCTTAAGGTGCGCCGTGCAACCTCGTACACGGATTGGTTGCGGAGAAGCAAAGCCAATGACCTGCGACAGAACACTACTCAGAGATATTTAGCTATTAATGTTCACTCGAATTATGCTAGATTTATCTGATAACTAATTCGCTATCAATATAGGTACTGAAAAACGTTCTCCGTGCTACACGTCTATTTCCTTTATGGCTGGGCTATAGCTAGCTTGTTCTGGGAGTCTAGCTAGATGTTGGAGAATCTGCCATAGATATTTCTGAGTCGGTCAGGCTTTACTAGCGTAGCAATCCGCTACAAACTAGTGTTTTTTCAAGGTCTCACAAAAACCAAACAATTTTTGGACTTACAAAGTTACAACACTGTATACCTTAGAGGGAGGATACAACGTATTCTAAAAAATCATTTCTGATTTCAGTCCTGGTTTTTTGCCAAATGTTTTGAAGTCAATTTATATTGCCTACAACATCTCTGTTGCATTCACATGGATACCTGTGTAATTAACCTATTTAAAACCAAATATGTCAATTGCAGTGTTCCACACAATAAAAACTGATCTATTTCCTGCACAATCATTGCATCAGAGAAATGCAAGGCAGATCAAATTAACAAATCACTAGACCAATCTTCATTTCAACTGTCAACCAATCAGACGAAACTCAAATCACTCAGATTTAATGAGACCAAATCTCTTGACACGAAGTATGTAAATCAATCGACTATGGCAAGGCAGATTTTGAAAGATTTTAGGGAGTAACAAACTGTTGTAAATAAGATGTTGGTCTCTTTATTAAACAGACGCAAACAACTGCTGCCAACTTGATTAATTTGAAACTTGAAAATATGTGTTTGTTTTAATGATTCAAACAGAGTCCATATTGACAGAGGAATAGATTCACTTTGCAGGTTGAACTACCTTGATTCTCAAGGAGTTCTGTGCAAGGCATGAACGTTTGCCGGTAAAGATGGCATATAGTGAACTATTCAGGAAATGGGATGAGGAGCAACAACATCTATTCTCCCACTTTGAAGCATACTTGCTGTTGCATTTTGGAAAGCTCATTGGTGGTGGCACGAAATGAGGTGGAAGTAAACATCAGCATTCTAACATGTGGCAACTCCATCATTCACCATTCCATTGAAAGTATCATGAGTGTGTCATCGTGAGTTCTTTTAATGTTTGAATCCACCCAATGTCACTGCTTGAGGCAATGTAATCGCGATGCTTTCTTTTCTGCCCACCACCGTGTTGACTCAAACACTTTGGGGGGGGGGGGAGAGAGAGGAGTTCACTACTTGACTTGTGCAAGTCTATTTATTGACAATCCATCCACAGCTTTTGTTGTCTCCCTCTTTCAACGTCTTCGATTTTTTACTAAACTCATGCACCAAAGACTGATACCTACCTGCACTCAATGAATTTGCAGAAGATGAGGTGATTATCATTGTAAGTCGTCAATCGTAACTGATTTGACCAATGCTGACTTCAAGTAATTTGATTTCTTGACGCTATTTGTTGTTGCCTCACTTATCAATGGCATCTTCGAGGAGTGCTCACACAATTTTAGAGTACAGTCGAGAAATGCATTTAGATGGCAACATCTCAACTACTGCACATGAATGAGGAGTTGAGGAAGACATTTGGTTGGCAAAAATGGTGTGAATGAAGTGTTGTGAGGCTTAGTAGAATTGCAGTCACAAGTGTGACATTGTTATTGTCAACACTGGAGAAATGTGGTTTCTCGTCAACTTCGATGCAGTTGCACTGGATTTCATGAAGTGAATTCTTACGCATATTTTCGAATACGAATTTGAATGAGAGTTCCAGTGAGAACTCTATTTTCCACTTCTACTCTCCTTCTCCTATTAATCTGCTTCACTTCCCTATTTCATTCCAATTTGAATGGAGAAACGACAACTGGAGTAATTGTAGTCATCTCATTACTTCTCAAATTCCATTGCAATGTTGAATTGGACTCCTTCCCTGGAAATCGATTTTGCATAAGATGTGTGTCTTCGTGGAATTTGAGGAGCACTGGAAAGGAAATAACTGATTCTTGTTACTGACAAAATGCGAACTGTACTCACAGACTCTTCAACTATTTCGGAATTTCATTAAGGACGCGTTTAACTTACATATAACTCACCAGTACAATCGTGAGTGAAAGGTTCTCAGGTGAGATAGATCTGGACTTAATAATTTTGGCATATGTCTAAATGTACTATGGTATGGCGTTTTTTGGCAGCTTCATTAGGGAGGACACTGCAAGAGCCACGAAGACCAACTGCTTGGAGATTACAATGGGAAATGGAAATGGAAGATGGTGAAGTTGATGTGTCTGATATTTGCCGGCTTGACTCAGTAGACTAACCAAGACATTGACAATCGATTAATGCTCAGTTTATCGAACCATGTGATTTTGTTACTCAATCGTGATAGTTTGGTGAAATCAGCATTAGTTTCACATTATTTAGTAACCACCTTCAATGCTGCTGAAACACAGTGAAAATCAGCTATCCTCTGAGATGCTATTTTGACATTTATTCCAATGTGAAAGGCTCCTATGTGATTGCAGAGGGAATTCAGAAGTACTTTACTATGTCTCCCTGTCAATCGTATATGTTCTATCTTCACAGCTGAAAAATTTAAGCTGTCATTAACTTGAAATCAAGGGTTTTTATACTAACCAAAAAATTTACTTAGCAGCTTAGAATGAAACTCCTCAAATCTGTGGAGTACGCTACACGCACGATTAAACTGGGCGCCTAAATATTCTGTAGGGTACGGCCTTGAGTGCAGAATTTCGAGAAAAAGTCAAGGCTTATTTGTGTAGCAATAGCTATAAGTCAGGGGTCCATAAGAAGCACAACAATTAATTATATATTCTCTCATATTTCGCCCCAACTTTCCAGGGAGCCATCGAATTAATTGAAATCTTACAAAATAAGGCGATATTAACTTTTATAACAGAAAAATCGACGTCTGAATTTCATATACTGGATTATAAGTTTTGGAAATTTACCGACAGTGTAGCGCATTTTTTTGCTTACCAACAAGGATGCACATCAGAATAAGTATTAATCATGATTTATAGTATATTAATTTACCATATTATTGATCTTTCTATAGTGGTTTATTCAACAAAATATGTGCAGATGTTTCTTATTCGTATAATGAGAAACTTTAGTTATATTCAGCTCATTAAAAAAGTGATTTTAAATTCATAAATGTTAGGGTAAACGATGCAGATCGGTTACATATTTCTTTAAAGATTGCTTGAACAGCACGGGAGAGCGCAGAACTAATAAGCGCAATAAAATAAAATAAATGGCTAATAACAATTTAAAATATGCACTAGACTTAAGAAATAATATAGGCTCAAGAACTTTTATGGAATTTCACACTGAGAATGTTCACAATATCATCATATTCTAAATAAATGTGAATATATATCTATTTCAAACGGCAGGTTTTATGATACTTAACATTAGTCCTTTTGCTGACTTCAGGCTTTACAGAGGGGGAACATCAAAGTAACAACAAGTCGAGAGAGGGGACAGAATAATATTTCACAGTCGTAAGATACAGATAGACACATAGTTAGAGAAAAGGTGAGAGTAGTAATGTGGATGTAGTCGGATATAAGTATACTCTGCCCAGGATACACCACGAGGAGGTAAGTCAATCACTCACCCCTCTTTCATGAATATTATTTGTGTAGCTTACAATAATATCCTAGTCTTCACTTTGTTTCTCTCCTGTGCCAAAAAGTTATAGAAGTCACTCAAACTCAATAAAAATGTAAAAGCGTCAAAAAATTTATTGCAAAAATATCATTTCTGTTTTTATTTAAAAGTTCTTGAATAAATTATACTTTGTTAATATTAACTATCTTACTTTATGTTTACTTGACCTCACGCCCGTGTCATTCTATTTTTTCTGATAATGGAGGGGGTGGTTCCGAGTTCTCCCCCCACTTCATGCTTTTGCCAGTTCTTCTTTTCATTATGCGATCCGAAGAGTCGAGCACATCGCTATTCAATGTTGTTCTTTATTTGCTTGTTGTCATTTGGCAGTTACTTTTGCTACGACAATCCTGCTGCTCTCCAAGATGCGTTTTTAACCGATCTTCGCTTAACTGTGACGGAATTTATGAACCTCTATGCATTCTATTCTTGGCCAAATGTCATTCTTAGCCTCGTCGGAGGTTTTTTAATTGATCGTGTAATTGGAATTCGCTGGGGAACTATCCTCTTTGCTTCTATAATTTTCATCGGTCAGTGTGTATTCGCAGCAGGTGCTTTCATGAAAAGTATCTATCTAATGTATTTTGCACGATTGCTTTTCGGCATTGGTGGGGAATCCCTGTCAGTTGCTCAAAACTCCTACGCCACGGCTTGGTATACATCGAATGAGCTGAATTTTGTCTTTGGACTTTCTATAAGCATGGCCAGGATCGGTTCCACTGTGAATATGAATACTATGCGGCCTCTTTATAATGCTGTTGGAAATCGATTCCATGTTGTTGGTAGTACAAAGATGGCCATAACGTTACTTATTGCGTCTTCGACTTGTCTCTTCTCTATCGCCTGTGCCTTCTCACTTGCTTTCTTTTATAAACGGTTTGTTTTCTTTTATCCTTATCAGTTTGAATGTACTTACTACCATTTCATCTTCTAGATATCTTAAAGCACAACAAGCCGTTGCGATTGAGCCACCACAAGCTGAAAATGAAACAACTGATGAAATTCAAGATTCTCAACCTGGAACCTCAGAGGTGACGGCTCAGCCAGCTGTGGAGGAAGTGAAGAAAATCGAAATCAGGGATATTTTACATTTTCCGGCTCCAATTTGGCTTATCTGCGTCATTTGTGTGACCTATTACGTGGCTATATTCCCATTCATCAGTTTGGGATTGGTTTTCTTCCAGCGTGAGTTTTTCTTTTAAGGATCAATCGGATTTATATGATGTTACATTTCCTTCACGGCTGAACAGTCCTTCCCTTAAGTTTTGTTTGACTTTCTTCTTTATGATTGATTGAATCGGTTCTGGGTTTGTTAGATAATCTACAGTACAATATTTCGGTCATGTCGCACTAATGTTAATGTAGTCGCTGCCGTTGTACACGTCTGCTAAATCGTCGGTGCACGTTAGTTCAAACAACTGTACTGGTTAATTCTGTTTCTTATAAGAGTTGTACAGGTTGCCTTTTCTCTATCCATGTCAAGTGTTGTTAAACCTGTTCTCAACGCGCTAAATAATTTAGAATGCTCATTGGCACCTACTGGCTAAATCTGTTTTACCGGGTGGGGGGGGGGCATTATTGCCTTTTATCGCTGAACCAGTTGCTAATATAGTGCTGGTCTAACCGTGGATATAATAGAAGGGTCGATTAGATCGAATGCCTTACAGAAGTAGTGCACGTACCAGAAAATGAAATAACCGACTGTGGTTACATGAAAGATATTTATTTCAAATGGCAGGCGTTTTGATAGTTATCACTAGCTCTTTTGCTGACTTCGGGCTTCACAGAGGGGAGGAGCATCGCAGTCATAAAGTCGAGGGGAGGTGAGGTGAGTACTGTGGAGGGGGTCGAATATGACATACAGTGGGGTGATGGTAGTTTGAAGTCAGAAGTCAACTGCCGGTTAATTGACTTTTTGCCGTATGAGTTTACGTTGCCCAGGGTGCACCACGTGGAGGTAAGTCTATCGCACATGGAAAAATCACCACTATATTTCCTCTATTCAAATGGCTAGTTTAACCGCATACCTTCAAGTTTGTTTGTATCGTCCTCGCTCAGTCTAGTTTTTGACACAAAAATTATTCCTACCTTTAACTGCCGGTGGCCGGTAGCGGAAACACCAGTACTTTGTTTCACTCTTATGCTTTTATCTATTTCAAAGATCGAGTGGGTGTGATGGGGGGGGGAGAAGGGTTAAAATAAAATGTGGATTTCTTGTCGAAGATTTCCGTGGTGGCTAGTTTTAGCTTCGAAATTAATTCTTTTTCAATTCCTTTGTCCAGAGCAGGCGTTGGAAGTCTTCTCATTTATTGTATATGGGCTTGAGAACTACTCCAACATCTGCGCATCCTTTAATTCTCAACACTTTAAGTTGCTCTGTGGGATTTCCGCTCGTTTTGAGCTCACCTCTTATTCTAATTTAATCTTTTCCTTTTTTAGGCAAATATGGATTGGACCCTCCTGAAGCAGCAGCAATTAATAGCATGATATTCATCGTTTCCGTAGTAGCCAGCCCCCTGGTCGGTTTGGCGGTCGATTATGTCGGTTACAACTTGACCTGGTTAGCCTCTGGCGTGGCATTAGCAAATATTTGCCATGCAATTTTCGCATTTACCTCCCATGGTGTCTCTCCTCTCGCATTGACTGCCTTCCTCGGATTAAGCTACTCAATTCTAGCTAGTAGTCTATGGCCTATGGTCGGCATGGTTTTACCCCAACATCATCGGGCCACGGCTTATGGTCTTATCCAATCCATACAGAACCTTGGTTTGGGCCTTATCGCCATGTTAACTGGGTATATAGTTGACACCAAGGTAAGTGACCGTCCAGCGTGAACACCGTCTCTTAATACCACCCTTTTCTAACTTAATTTTGTCTCCATTTCAGGGATATCTGGTTTTGGAGCTCTTCTTTCTCCTGTGTACATCTATTGCTCTATTATCAGCTGTCTGTTTGATGTTGTGGGATTCTAAAAACGGCTATAAACTCAATTCTCGTTCAAAGAGACACGATAATAAGATTTCTGTACCTCGGGAATCTGTCGAAACATCGGACACGACGCCTCTTATTTCTTAATTCGATGCTGCCTTTTTGAAGGGATCATGACTGCTGTCTTTTGTTAATTATTTTCGTATATTTGGTTTGTAACAAATTTATTTCGCAAAAATTTTACTTCAAAATAAGGTGGCACTTTTTTACACTTTTTCCAAAATGGATATCAGGGTAATTTTTTTCAATCGGAGTCTAGTAGCATATTTTTCCATTTATTTATATCAAATGGCAGGCTTTACGAGAGTTATCATTAGCCCTTTACTTGCCATCTGGCTTCACAGGATGGAGGAACATCAAAGTCACAAAAAGTCGTTGGGAGGGGGGGGGGGAAACAGAAGAGTGATTCACAGCTGTAAAAGGGACTGAAAGGCCCAAAGGTAGAGAAAAGGTAAGGTGAGGCGATTGCTGTGCAAGTAGTCAAGTATGACATGCAGTGGGGTCATGGTAATTTGACGCGAGAAGTCAACTGCCGGTTTATAGACGTTTTTGAGTATGAATATATGTCTCCCAGGGTGCACCACGTGGACGTAAGTCTATCGCGCACCCCATATTTTTTCATAGCTATAGCTAAAACTACTCAGTGTGAAGTGGGTTTACTTAGAAATGAATCGCCGTTAAAGCAAGTCTAAGTTTGTTTTATCAATGCACTATCCTTTAACCTATGTGTGGAGAACAAGAGCTGTTTCCGATTGGTGCATTTACCGAAATGGTCGTAGAGAGGATGAGAGTTAGGTTTGAATATAAGAGCGAGATACTTACGTGTCTGTTTGAATGAGCATACCACAGGATCTCTAGTGTACTTAAACAGTAGAATTTTCAACGCTAACTGATATCAACAACCTTGAAGGCTAATACAGAAAGTGGGCACTAAACACTGCAGACAATAGATGACTCAGGTTTTGGGAGGAGGGGGAGAAGACACTAACGCTGCATTCCAATGGGTGCATAAATAATTTTTCCAGCAGCAGGATACGTGAAGACCAAGGGTCTCTACAAACACCTAGTAGATTTCTGTAAGATTACACAGGATGGAATTATCCCTGCAGATTTAATCTTTATTGGTCGGCCTCCTATCCTATAAGCACGTGAAACGAGGGTGATTAGTTCGGCACACAATTAATTGTTGCTGCAAGCACTATCATGCACTTACCATTGGTTAAAATGTCATTATATTTCAATGAAATTGATACTCGTGAATTAAGTGGTGTTTGTTGCTTTGTGGTTCTCCCGTATTTAAAAATGCGCGGTCTACTTCACTCACAAATTCCACTGATTTTTCAACTTGGATATGTAAGTGGTGCATTAACAAATTAATTGAAATCAGCACTAAATACCCTCGTCTGTTTAGTTACTGCAAATCTAGAAGGGAAACAAACCATCTCATCTACGAGCAAGTAGCATTCAGCTTGGTCATCTGAAATATCTACCTCTATACTCGAAAAGCGGGGTGTGCGATAGACTTACCTCCACGTGGTGCACCCTGGGCAACGTATACTCATACGGCAAAAAAGTCTATTAACTGGCAGTTGACTTCTGACTTCAAACTACCATCACCCCACTCTATGTCATATTCGACCCCTTTCACAGTACTCATCTTACCTTTTTTCCACCTTATCTACCTTCGTCTTTGATACACTCTTCTGTCCCCCCCCCCCTCTTGAAATTTTACACTTTGATGTTCCTTCCCCTCTGTGAAGACTGAAGTCAACTAAAGGGCTAATGATAACAATCAAAACGCCTGCCATTTGATATAATAATAATATTCGAAAAGCCACCTCGTTATGGAAATAACCAAGTGCCTGCCACTGCCAAAAAATCATCAGTATACTCAATGGAATGAAAGACCAAGGTTTGGGAATGGGAGGGGGGGAGGCAAATCTTACATAATCTGGCCAGTAAGATTAAGGTGCCAGACAAGACGCGCAAAAAT